TTCTCATTGCTCATGAGATTGTGCATAACTTGAGAACAAATGATAAGTTTTCAAAAGAGTTTCTGGTTTTTAAAACTGATATGTGAAAAACTTATGACAGAGTAGAGTGGTTATTCTTGAAAGGAATTCTACAGGCTCTTGGTTTCAATGAGAAATGGATAGATTGGGTTATGGAATGTGTGACATCAGTTTCATATTCAGTTTTGATCAATGGTGTCAACCCTATGGGAACATCAAACCACAGAGAGGAATCAGACAGGGTGATCCTCTATCACCTTTTTTGTTTGTTCTATGCACTGAAGCACTTATTCATATTCTCAATAGAGCTGAACAAGAGAAGAAGATTTCAGGAATTGAGTTTAATAATGCCGGGACTTCAGTGAATCATTTGTTGTTTGCTGATGATACTCTAATAATATGCAAAGCTAAGAAAGAAGAATGTGAGGAAGTGATGAATTGCTTAGCTAGCTATAGGAAAATCTCAAGCCAAGAAATCAATGTAGAGAAATCAGCAGTCATTTTTGGAGCTAAAGTAGAGGATCAAACAAAAGATTGGATTAAGCAAAACTCTGGGATTCATTCAGAAGGAGGAACTGGTAAGTATCTAGGCTTACCTGAATGTTTAAGTGGGTCTAAAAAGGATCTCTTTGAATTTATTAAAGAAAAGCTTCAGTCTAGAATGACAGGTTGGTACGCAAAGTCCTTATCTCAAGGTGGCAAGGAGATTCTTTTAAAATCAATTGCTATGGCTCTCCCAGTTTATGCAATGACCTGTTTTAAACTTCTTGTTAAGCTCTGCCAAAATTTAACTAGTGTGATGATGGACTACTGGTGGAACAGTATGCAATATCTGAGGAAGATTCTATTGGTTGGGTGGCAGAGACTTGCAAAGATAATCAGTGCTTTAATCAAGCATTATTGGCAAAACAAGCTTGGAGATTGATGAATGAGAAGGACAGTTTGTTTTACAAAGTGTTCAAAAGCATGTACTTTCTGAATTCTGATATACTGAGTGCCACAAATGGAACTCGACCATCATTTGCTTGACGAAGTATATTATTTGGAAGGACACTGTTAAAACAGGGGTTGGAAACAGTCATTGGTAATGGAAAGGATACCAATGTATTGATCAATAAGTGGTTATTTGATGGAGAAAATAGAAGACCGATGAATGCTCAAATATTGATTAATATTGAGCTAAAATTCAGTCAACTGATTGATCCTGTCTCGAAGAATTGGAATTTGAATCTTTTGCGAGACTTGTTTCCATGGAAGGATGTTCAGCTTATTCTGCAACAAAGACCATTGTTATCTCAGAATGATTCTTTCTGTTGGGCATATAATCAGAATGGATTATATTCAGTTAAGTCAGGATATGACTTAGGCAGCTGGAGAGTTCATCAACAATTGTATCAAGAAGCTGAAGAGAATCCCTCACTAAATCCATTGTATATCAGTGTCTGGAATCTGAAAACTGCTCCAAAAATCAAAATCTTTTTTTGGAAAATGTTAAAAGGAGCAATTGTAGTGGAGAATAGACTAAGAACAAGAGGGATTCATATTGCAGATGGATGTCTTATGTGTGGTGAGGACAATGAAACAATTAACCATATCCTTTTTCAATGTCCTCTAGCGAGACAAGTACGGGCTCTAGCCTTTATTCCTTATCCGTTGGGTGGTTTTGGGAATTCTATATATGCTAACTTGCATCATATCTTACAACTAACTCAAAACCAAGATATTTCTCAATCAGTCAGTTTTGTTTGTCCTTTGATCATTTGGGTCTTATGGAAAAACAGGAACAAGATTCTCTTTGCAGGAAAAGGATCAGTAACTGATTGCATTGTGGAGAAAGCTTATGATGATTCCAATCAATGGAATAATGCTCAACAAAGAGAGACTGTCTCAGTGTATAAGGACACAGAGGTTTTAAAGAAATGGGTTCCACCAAAGAATGATGAGTTGAAATGCAACATTTGATATGCATGGTCGAAACAGAAACATATCTCAGGGGCTTCTTGGATTGTTAGAGATTGTCAAGGGAAGGTTATTGTGCATAGTAGAAGATCGTATTCACAGGTAACTTCTCTTTTTCAAGCTAAACTTAGATGCTGGGAATGGGCTTTACAGAGTATGAAACAATTGAGGTATGAAAAAGTTATTTTTGGTGCTTCAACTTCAGAGATTATTAAAGCACTGAATAAACCAAGAGAATGGCCAGCCATCATTGGTCACATAGCTGACCTGTTAAGTTTTACTTACAATAAACCATTGTGGTTTTTGGAATTAGAACATCCTCTTAGCAACAAAGGACCCTATGAAATAGCTAAGAGTGTGATATCATGACTGAGATTTCAATCGTATGTAGCTTCTGGTTCTCCAAAATGGCGCCAAAATGTTATTGATTCTAATAAGGTTCATTAGATGGGAGATTTGGTTTTTTCTTGTTTTTATTTCAGTGTTAATTTTCTAGAGGTCGGTTGTTTTCAGGATTAGATTCTTTAAGAGTTTTTCTAGTTTTGTTGGTTTCTGATAATTCTGTTTTGTCTCATTATTCTCTTTTTACGATCTTACCTTGGTTCAAGGTTTTTCCAGTCTTATCTTTTACCTTCTTATCTTCTTATTTTAAAATACTTTTGTTTTTTTAAAACCTTTAACGTTTCTGTTGTGTCTCTAGGTCTATATATAGTCTTTACTTCTTTCTCTGTTTAGAACCACAATCTCCTTTAACTTTTGAACTTTACTTAGAAACATGGCAGAAGAGTTATGGGATGAGATTCAAAATCTTGCCTTGGGAAGAAATGATCTGGAGCTATTCATACCACATGAAGCTTATGCAGATGTAGCAAATCGTAATCGACTCAGTTTGATTGCTAGACCTCTAAACCCGCGAGCTCAGAATCTCTTTTCGGTAATAACTTCTTTACTAAGAGTTTGGGGTTTAACTACATCAGTTCATGGTAGGGTTTTGGATGCTACTTTGTTCAATTCCTCTTTCAATCTGAACTTGACCTTATTTCAGTTCAAAGAAGAGAGCCTTGGCTCTTTAATAATTGTTTCATAGTAAATCAGAGATGTGAGATCTTTCCTGATGTTGATTTCCTTACAACCATAGACTTGTGGGTTCAGATTAGGGGAATACCGTTACCCTATGCGTGTGTGGAAACAGTTAATGAAATAGCTCAAGAACTTGGTCAGATTGTCCACATAGATTTTCATAAAGCTTCTACCATACAAATTGCCTATATCAGAGTAAGGATTAGGTTTGGTATATCAAATAATCTCAGGTTCTTTCAGAGGATTCGGTTTGATTCAGGAGAGACTGCGGTCATTCGTTTTCAATATGAACATCTCAGAAGAATTTGCAGTCGATGTCTTAGGTTCACACATCATCGTCTTCACTGCCCTTACACGCTACCTGCACCGGAACCTAGACATGAGGCTAGAGATCAGTCTCTTCTAAGGAGAGCTAGAATGGTGTTTCAGGATGAGTTGCATAGATCAGAGATGAACTCTTAGTCACAGATGTCAGATAACTCCTTCCCTGCACCTATTGCTCCACCACCAAGGGTTGCAACTCCTCCTCTGAATCCTGAAGAACTTGCAGCTGCGAGACCTTATCTTTTTACTCCAAGGGTGACAACGCCTCAGAATTTGAATGCTCATGTTCCTCAATATGCAATCCAAAGACAACATGTTTCAACTGAATCTAATGTAACCCCAAACAAGACAGAGGAGGTTACATCAAGGTTTTCAAGAATTGTGGAGATTGGAGAATCATCTCAAGTAAATGAAATGGGAGATGGTTCAAAACGCAAGAACAAACAAGATACTCCGCAGGAACGAGATTCAAGAACGCAAAACAGAAAGTTATTGAGCATATTGATGGAGGGATTCTGAAACCTCCAAAGAAACGTTAAACCACTCGAGTGATTCTGTCATTTTTTGGCGATGTTAGAGGTACTGAAGGAAGATTGTCAAGATGCTTGAATAAATGGTATGCTTTGGGAATCCTTTTTGGTAAGACATACTTTCTGGCTCTTTCAGATGTGTCTTTGATAAGACATATGAAGAGTAAGCAATCGTGAAGACTCAAGATGATACTTTCTTTTGAGACACTTGATGTGGAGTCTTTGAATCCTTTTGAAGCTCTAGTTTACAAGTTTGTATAAGTTAAATGTTGTTTGTTTTAAGTTTAGTAAGTGGAAGTTTCCACAGTTGTATCCTTTGCAACATCTGCAGGTTTCTAACACTTTTTGGGGAAAAAAAAAAAGATAGATATTGCAGGGGTTGGGAATATGAATATCGGCCTCAGGAGACTAGAAACGCCGTCTAACTTGGTATTTTTATCTAGTGTAGGTATGTCATGTTAAAAGAGAAAAGGAAGACACGTGTTATCTTTAAAACATCTGAAAATTGTGTCATGAAATTCTTTGGACAATGTCCCTTCCTCTTTATTATATTTGAGCAATGTGCTCGTAAATATCTGGCAATTTTCTACTTTTGAACTATATTCTGGATGTGAGTTATGATCACACTTTCTAATATCGTGACTGTAGAAGCTTTACAATAGTTGTTAGTGCCGGAGCTACCAATGTTAGATCAACTACAACGTACGTACATTTTTTTATTTTTTTTTACTTTTTACAATGTACTTTAACATTGCTTCGGCAAAATGGTAGATCAAAAGAGTAGTATTCAACTTCTGTATTTGCAAATAAGTTGTATTTATTTTAAATTTCAAGTGAATTTTTTTTCTTCTTAAGATAGTATATTATGACTATATGAGTACTATAAAAAAATCTCGATCGTCAATAATCTGTGTCTCTCGATTGTTTTTGCAATAAGGTCTCATTGACGTCTTAATTATTTCAATGTGTTTGCAACTATTTCTACTTATGTTAATTTGCACGAGTTTAAACTATGCAAGTAATTTCAAGTCAACGTAAGAAGGCGTCATGCATGTTAGAAAGTAGAAACACTTGTTGTAAAGTACAATTAAAACAAGAGATTCTTCATTAGCTCTTTCTCATCCATTTAGACGCCACCTAGAGATCAGAAAAGGGAAAATATATCAATTCAAAAGTTCGAAATCTATAGAATAACATTCTAAAAGAAGAAAGAGAATATATATTCACGCACCATAATCTCTTGTTGTCTTGCATTTGAAGCATTCAGCCCTGCTTGCGTAGTTATGAACCCCACATCCGACCCTAGGACAAAACCAATCGCCAGTTTTCCATCCGGGAGGACAAGCTGTGCCATCATTCCCGTACGCAACCATTTGAGCACCGTAGTACTGTTCCGTATACTCGACTTTAATCATTCCACATCGGTAGCAACTTGTTCGGCTCGCGTAATTGTGGCTCCCACAATTCAATGCACCACAATACCAATCACCAGCCATAACTTCGGTCCTGTTGTACAAGTACGTTGAAACATCAACCCCTCCAAATTTGGGGTATCCGCATTTTTGGCATGACTCTCTTTTTTTGAAGTTTGCGTGTTGACACGCACCGCATAGCCAATCTCCTCCAGTCCAACTCATCTTTCTCTTTATGTATCTCTTACCACCTGAAACGTTAACTAGTACGTAGCGTTCAGGCAACTTACTAGATCTAAATTTTAGGTGTGAAAAAAGCCTTATGAAGGAGCTAAAATTTAAGGAGAAAAACGAGCGAACCTGAGAAGACAAGAGACTGGTAAGCGAAAGGAATTGGTGAAGTTGTTAGTTTGAGGAACATGGCATTTTATAGGCCTTAATGATCAGAGAATGTAAACTTAGATAGATTCTGATTCCATCAACTTTCTTTGCAACATGAGGATATATAGTAAATAAAATACAACTAAAGAAATGAATTTCGGACAAACAAGCCTTGTTGTAAGAAGACTTCAAGACAAGATGATTAATTCGAATGATGTACATTATAATTTTCAAAGGTTGCAAATAATTTCTTTGGATCATCTAAGACCTATTTTGTGTTTGTGTGACACCATGTTTTGTCTTGTGATGGTTTTACGAAAATAATATCAATATCAACGTTCAAACATTACGGTGAAGTAGACATCCGATACCGATTAACGTAAAAGTTGAAACTGTTTCATGTGAAGGAGAAAAAAGTCGTCAAGGATCATTAGGAGGGAAATAACGAGAGCGTCCTTGAGGGCTTAAAGTGATTCTCAATTGCATTATTGTAGGTATAAAAGAGAAGAGGATGATGAAGGGTATTATTCTCTTGTGTTGCCCCCCAATAACCATTTGTTCCAATTCTGTCCTTCATTCATGTTCCTTCACACCTAGCTCGTTGATGGATTTCGAAATCTTTCATATTATCCGTTTCGTTTCTTTTTTTTTTTTGTCAAAACAACTTACCAATCATATTAAAACATATGTTCATTCAATATTTAATTAATAAATTTTTTGATAGATGTTAAAAAAATGTAGTATAATTCCAACTATAAAATTAAGACATTTCTTATCTAAAATCTAATAAACGAAAGACAAATTAGTTATTTTGTCATTTAAATTTAGTTTACATATAATCTCTTGTGGATTAAATTTGGTTTAGTATTGTTCTATATACTCTCTCTTTTTCGACAGCTATTATCTGGTGAGAAGTAAAAAAATGGTTTCTTTCAAAAAAATAACATGAGAGAAAATATCGTAAATAATAAGTTTACTCTCTTATTATTTCTTATATATATTTACATTTTGTCATTTTTCTATAATTACATGGGCAATATACATTGGCGTAAGGCAATACTGTAACACTTTAATTTTCTTTTCTTTTTATTGAAATGTTAAAGTTATCATCAACAAGAAAACAGTTAAATTTTTACCAAAGAGGATATACAAATGGAATTTGGTTAACACCAAAGTAATGATAAAGAGACTTTTAAAATTATATAAAAAAAAAAAAACATATATCAAAAGCCTAGTATCCAAAAAATTAGATGAAACTCCCCCGGGTGTGTTCTCTTCTAGTTAATGTCTTAAGGGCCATATGGGGCAGCCATAACGCGGACAGTATTAAAGTGTTACAAAAAACTATATAATACTAAATTCACTTAGAATTTATTCTTTATTATAATGCCAATTTATTCTTTCTAACACTTTTATTCTTTATTTCTTCAATAATTCAAAAGTTATCATACCAAGATTCACTTAGGCATGTCTACGTTCATTCTTCTTCCCCTACATGAATCGGTTCAAATTAAGTTTAAATTAACTTTTACCATTTCGAACATGATTTTTCTACGTTATCTTAAATTGTCCGATTTTCAATTCTTGTTGTCGGCTACTTCAATATTTACAGGCTGAAATTGGAATGATTAAGCATTAATCAGTTTGATATACCATCTTCTTATTATTCTCTCAATGCCATAATTGTCTTCATGAAATAATAATGGGTAGTTGGTGCTGTTTATGAACACATCATACATAACATTTTTATACATTAAGGGTTTATAACAATTTTTACTTACCTACTTCTAATTTTTATGGTAGTTTTGTTTTATAAGTCATGGCAGTATCTATAGTACCAAAACATTTACATCAAATAATTCTATCTAACGTACATTTTTAAGCAACATCACTTAATAAAATTTGGTTCATAGATCTCATTTTGTCTTACAAAATCTTAAAAATTATTGCAAACTTGCAACACTTACTGATACTAACTGAAAATCACTATATATTTTTCTTTTTTCTTTTTCCCATATTCAAAAGTTAATTGAAAATCAATTTCTTAATATTTCATCCATCCAAATTAAATATTACTTTGTGCTTACCATATTTATTAATCATTAAGTTAGTCATATGAGTAGAAATATAATTTTAGGCAAGTTCATAAAGAACATGAAAAAGAGAGAGAAAGCACGAGCTGTTAGATAAAATTTGTCTCTCTAACGTTATTTTCCTCATTTTAGTTGGTCAAATGGTTCATATATATGGCTATTTTGGATCTAATTTCTTTATTATCCTTGCCTGTAAAAACTCAATAACTACACTATGTGTCGTCGATAGTCAAATCAATTGAAAAAGAATTCTTTTAAATCACTTTTTTCAAAGCCAAGGTATTAGATCGAAGTAATGCATGTAACCAAGAAAGGTTACTTTTAGGAGGAAGGAATGTTTGTAACTAAAGCAAATTGGGTTGCGGCGAGACGACGCTGTGTGTGTGTTTTCTTCACTCAGTTGTTCTTTGCTCTTTTTTTATATTTGATATTTGCTGTGTCAACAATTCTATATGTTTCTTGGAAGAGAAGCAACCTTCCATATTATATACTAAATTGAGAATTTTGAGATGACAAACCAAGTAGAATCCCTAACCCATGAATATGGCCCGCGTACAAAGGATTTGATTCTTATAAGTTTATATTATAGTTTGTGATGTATATTAAAGGAGATTTTTTATTTAGATAGATAAAACTCAATCCATAGCATACTCTTGATTATGTTGGACGTAACGTGATTTGATGAAGTTGAACTTCGATATTAAATGCCGCGAAAGAAGGGATCGTTAGCCATTTGACTAAAAGCACTTTACCAAATTAGTGAGGAGATATAAATGTTGGATTCATTAATAGCGATTAACGAGGGTGCTAAAATAAGATGGGGAAAGAGAAATATTATGTTAGTTAATAGTTGTTTTTGAAGAAAATCTAAGCTAAAACAAAATATTGTAGATATGATTTATATGAAATCTTATAAAAACTAAATATGGTGGATATGATTTAAAGTTGGGGTGTTGTAAGTTGTAACATTTGGGATTTTATCCATATTAAGCTTACACAAATAAATAGATACAATAAAGTGATTTGATGAAGTTGAACTTCCATATTAAATGCCCGCGAAAGAAGGGATCGTTAGCCATTTGACTAAAAGCACTTTACCAAATTAGTGAGGAGATGTAAATGTTGGATTCATTAATAACGAGGGTGATAAAATAAGCTGTCGAAAGAGAAATACTATATTAGTTAATAGTTATTTTTGAAGAAAATCTAAGCTAAAACAAAATATGGTGGATATGATTTATATGAAATCTAATAACTAAATATGGTGGATATTAATTAAAGTTGGGGTTGTAACATTTGGGATTTTATCCACATTAAGCTTACAAAAATAAATAGATACAATAAAGTAACAAGAGTTTTAAGAGAAAAGGGAAGATTCTAGCGTGTTGACACCGAGGGGAATTCGATAAGAAAGAATCGAAATCAATACACAAGATGTGTCACAAATGGCATATATTCGTAGATGGACTAACTATTACATCAATCATCTTAAGTAGTGTATTCCATTGGTCGTAACTTTTTCATTGTTCGATTTATTTTTGGTTTTTGTTGCGTAGTCATACAAAATAAATCGACATCCTTGGCACTTGTAGCAGTATAATATAACTGTTTTTTCTTTGATAATTAGCTCATATGAATATTCCATCTTTATGCTACGTTAATTCTGTTGAATATTCATCTTTAAAATATTTATATACTAGGAGTTATCCCGTGCTACACATATATTTTATTTACATGTTTTTCGTTATATTTTATTTATGAGATTATAATTTTAACGTTTATTTGCTCCATTGGAAATGCTCCTACAACATGACCAAGACTCACTCAGATTTTCTAGGGTTACAGTTTCAAGTTTCCGAAGACTTCTCCAACTAAGTCAGAAATGTCTTAATTTTTCGGCTTTAAGGAAGCCAATGAGCGAGTGGGAGTATTTATAGGTGAACTTAGTTGGTTGGGATGCATGTGGAGGCAGCTTACGCGTCCCGCCGTCACGACAAGTGGTCGGACGTATGGCAGTTTCGAATAACTATCAGGTCTAGCTGATAACTATAAGGTCTAACGGATAAGGTCGACCACCGAAAGGATAAGATTTGTCGTGGCACCACATCAACCTCAAATTTTTCACGAACCTGCGTGGTCACCTCTTAAGCGACCTAGTTCTACGAATTGCATGTTTGGCTGTTTTCGGTCTATTGAAAGTAGCTCTATGATGCAGCTACTTACAAGCTTGCTTGTGAATATGGTTTGTGCTAGGCCATCGATCGGCCATGGTGAGTTACCCGTGCCGGTTTGCCTAAGATGGATTTTCACCAGCAATCTAAAACGTCTCCTTGACCAAAACTAATAAGATCTCAGGTGATTTAATATTTGATCTTACTTAAAGGAATCTCAACCAACTAATAGTGATTGATAATAACATTGTCTTGAGCCGAGTTGTCTCGTTTAACGGAGAATCACTTTCTTTCTCTATAGTATTTTCGATTTTTCTTGATGCATGCTGCTTTACCCAATGAATGATTAACTGTTCTTGCATTCCCTTTTCTTTATTTTGGGCTTTGGTCGGCCATCTGTTTCGCATCCTTCTTTCCTGGTCTTAGATCACAGTCCCGGATATTACATACAAGCTTTTGAATTTTCCTTGGATGTCTTGATAATATATGTCTCCCTTTTCTATATTTTCTTGACAAACAAATCAATCTGAAAAAAATAGACACTCTAATTTAAACTTTTATAAAACCGAGAAGTCGAGAAGTGAAAATAATATTAACAGATGTAGCCTAAAAGTTTAGTCTGGTCGTAACTGGAAAAAGATCTATTTTCCCCCGAGAAGTATCGCATAATAACAGATATAGCCCAATCTTTGACCCCGGTCCCAATGTCTCTGAAATGGAAGTTCTATTCCTATTTCCCCCTGAATCGAAAGTTCGAGAGATAATACCATACAGAGCTAGGTTTAATCGGTTTACTGATTCAAAAACGATTAACGAACCAACTAAACATTATTGATTAAACCAGAGTTATGCCCAATTACAACCTGATTTACTCTCTAAAACCGAAATCCCCAAATCAAAACCCTAAAATCAAAAATCCCCAAATCGAAAGAAAGAACCCTAGAGAGAAATTGCGATTTGTGTTTGTCTAATCTGCTGCTCAAATTCGAAGGTGTGATGTCTTTAGTCGTTCATGACCCGGACATTGTTGGTGATGTCGATCCCGAAGGCGAAGCAAGAGACAAATTCCACATCGAAGAAATGCTGAATGAGTTGACCGACGAGCCACCGTTTTGGCATGATGCGTACCCATAGAGCGATGGTGAAGCTAACGCATATGGTCCAGAGAGAGTTCACACTCATATCAGGCATGGTGATGGGTATCTGTACCAGAAGCAAACATTTTTTAGTGGAGTTACATTCAAAGAAGCTGTCGTCGATTATGCTTTAAGAACCGGATGCAATCTGAAACAGTACATGTATGATCAAGATAAAATTTGCTTTAAATGTGTTGGTAATGATGGTAAGGAAGAGGGAGTAAGGTGTGAATGGCAAGTGTATGCCGCAACTCTTCCAAATGATCCAATGTGGAAGATTAGGAAGTTCATAGATAAGCATAATTGCATCCCAAATGGAGAGTGTGAGATGTTTAAAGTGCCGCATATAGCTAGGTTGTTTGTAGATAAGATCAGAGAGAATCCGAAGTTCTACATGCCAGCTAAGATTGAAGAACTCATCAAAGAACAATGGAAGATCAGTGTGACAAGGAATCAATTTGCAAGATTAAGAGACTATGCGGCTGAGATTCTTGATGCAAATCCTGATTCACATGTAGAAGTTGATTTTCTGACGAATAAGGAAGGTAAAGACATGTTCAACAGGTTCTGTGTCTGTTTTGACAACCTTAGAAAGACCTGGATGGAGAGCTGTAGGCCTCTTCTTGGAATTGATGGATGTTTTTTGAAAAATACGGTCAAGGGTCAGTTGTTGGTAGCATTAGGCAGGGATGCTAATAACAAGATATATCCTGTAGCTTGGGGAGTGGTTAAGGTAGAGAATACAGAGAATTGGGTTTGGTTTGTGAAGAATTTGAAGGAAGACTTAGGATTAGGTGATGGTGAAGGTTACATCATGCTCTCGGATAGGTAGAAGGTAGCATTCTTCTTGTTTTCTAGAAGTTTTATATTGTCTTTTAAATATTCTGTGATATTGACTTCTATGTTGTTTCAGGGATTGATCAAAGCTGTCTCTCTTGAGTTGCCAAACATAGAGCATCGGATGTGTGTCCAACACATATATGGGAACTTGAAGAAGAATCATTGAAGCAAAACAAGGATGAAGCCACTCTGGCATGGGCATATAATGAGAAAGATTATAAGCAGAATCTGGAGAAGATATTCTACTATGACACAGTGGTATTCAATGATATCATGAAGAACAATCCTATGAGTTGGTGCAGGGCATTCTAGAGGAGAGGCAACTACTGTGAAGACGTGGAAAACAACTTCACTGAGTCTTTCAATGGTTCTCTGAACAAGGCAAGAGAGAAGCCATTTCTGGCTATGTTAGAAACTATAAAACGACTTGCTATGGTGAGGATTGCCAAAAGGTCTGTGGAATCTCACACTCACACATGTAAATCTCTCTTTTTAATCTCTGCTCCTTAATGTTTGGATCTGATTTTAATCTCTGCATTTTAATGTTTGGATCTGATTTTAATCTCTACTTTTGAATGTTTGTTTTGCAGGGAGCTGCACTCCTTATGTTGCATTGGTTCTCTCTGGTGAGCACAAGGTAGCTTCTCTGGCAAAGGTGTCTACAAGCACCAATGAAATGTATGAAGTCAGACATGGCTTAGATTCTCACCGTGTATGCTTGAAGAGCTACACATGTACATGCCATAAGTGGCAGATCCGTGGCATTCCGTGTGAGCATGCATATGGAGTCATTTTGGACAAGAAGCTTTCACCAGAAGACTATGTTTGTCATTGGTTCAGGACATCTACCTGAAAAAAGAACTACACTGATGGTGTGTTTCCACAGAGAGGTCCTAAGTTCTAGCCTGAGACTCATACTCCTGCTGTGTTTATACCAGAGCCACCAGAAGGAGAGAAGAAGATAACAAAGGAGGATAGTAGAGGAAGAAGGGTGTTAATGAGTCTCCAACTAAGAAGGCACCAAAGAACAAGAAACGGATCATGCATTGTGGCATTTGTGGGACAGCTGATCACAATTCAAGGAAACATCACAAGAAAGCTAAGGTTTGTTTTATGTTTTGATCAAAATTCATTTATTTTTATGACATATGTGGCTTCTACTAACATTCATTTATGTTTTACAGACTTCTGAATCTGTTTTGCAGCCTTCTCAACCTGAACCAAGTCAAGGCTCACTCACTCAAGCTTGATCTAGGTAGGGCACTTAGGTAGAACTAGGTAGGGGACTTATGTGGTTGTCTCCTTGTAATTTTCGACCACATATGGCTAGTGTATCCCTTTGTAACTTTTTGAATGTTGTTAGGTTCCTCGGATTATTGTTTCTTTTTTGAATGTTGTTTGGTTACTTGGATTTATATGTCTTTATGACTAGATTATCAATCTATGCTCCTTCTTTTATGAATTACATTTGCTTGGGTTAATGGTAATCAGAAAGAACAAATCAAGAACAAAAGGGAAATCAACATTAACAAGATACAATCTGTCTTACAAACTGTCAAGACCATTTAAGATACAAACCACAACAAGATACAATCATACTCAACATCAGTGACGACCAACACACACCAAGATACAATCATCATCCTATAAGTTTTGTTGAATCCAATCATGATCATACACCCTATCACTACCACACTCATCATCTTCTTTCTGCTACCTTTGGCTTCAGACAAAGCATCTTCGACCTTCTCAAAGATATTCTTCTCTATCTTCATTTGAACTTTCTCGCAAATCACCTTTTCATACTCCAAGCTCTCTGTTCTAAGCTCTTTCAGCTGCTGCTCTAATTGACCATTATTTGCTCTCAATGTCTCTATCTCATTGAGCAAAGCTTCATCAATCCATTTGAAAGTGTGTTCATCATTCCTAAGCTACAAATGAATAGTCATTCATCTCGATTAGTAGAATCTATATTATGAATGAAATCGAAACAGAGGAAACAGAGGCATAAGAGGCATGAAATTACCTTATGTTTCGCAGCAAAACCACAACGAAAGTATCTCCGGCAAGGATTCTGATCGGATTTCGAAATTAGAGACAAATTTTCTTTCCCGCACCAACATCTCTTTCGCACCCCGACGACTCTGCCTCTTCCACGAGGACATGTAGATCCCGTCGAACTCGATGATAGATTACTCATTCTGCAACTCGATTTTGGGGTTTGAAATCGAAATTGGGGATTTCGAAATTTAGGGTTCTAAATTTGGGGATTTTGGGTTTTGAAAACAACTATATATGGGAAATTTGTATTCGAGACTGGGTCAGATTTCGGGATATAATCTGATATTTAATCGGTTTGGTTTTGGGAATACATGGTTTGGTCTCGGGTTTACAACTAAAACCAACGATACCCAGATTGGGGGACATTTAGGTGTTGAACTTTCGATTCGGGGGGGGAAATAGGAATAGAACTTCCATTTCAGAGACATTAGGACCGGGGTCAAAGATTGGGTTCTATCTGTTATGATGTGATACTTCTCGGGGGGAGGCGGGAATAGACCGTTTTCCGGATCGTAACTATATGCATCTTAGATATATAAGAAATGATTAATTCCAAACATAAGTGGGATGACAATTCAACTTTGGCCATAACCTTCTAATTTTTTATACCAAATCAATTTTTTTTCTATGTAATATGAAATGTGATTGTTGAATTAGTAATTACGACAAATTTGTAGAACACAAACCTGTTAGACTGTTGCAAAAAAAAAATTCTAAAGAGAGAAAGGGAGAAAAAAATAGAGAAGAGAGCTGTTTTTTAACCAATGGATGGAGGTTTCCACAATTCCACCGGTTGATTAGACTTGATATGTTTCGTTTTAAGGTTGTGTGGTGGTGGTCTCCTGTTTTGGGTCAAGTTTTTGTCGATGTTTCTTCTTCTTACTTTTGCAGTTTTTTCATGGCGTTTAACCAGTCAATCTACAGTTTTGCACATCTAATATGGCAGGTGAAGCGGTTGGACGTCTGTTCCAGTTTCTTCCACTCGAGTTCCACACCAATTATGGTTGAGATCTGATTACTTTTTTTTCTCCGACCGCACCTTATTTTGAATAATAGATGGTTTCAAAACGTCAAGAGAAAGGTCCATCAAGCCGGATTAAATAAGCATATGTTTACATTACATAAATTTACCAAACCTCAAGCGAGGACATGAAGACTAGAACTTTTCGTTGAGGTTTGTGATTTTCATCCACAACGAGACAATTTTCGATCTTAGAGAAGGACTGATGCAGGGTCTCTTACATTTTTTTTTGTTTGGGCTTGAATGTTTCAGTTATAGTCGTGAGCTTTAAGGCAGCAAGGTGCTTTTGGAAATTCTCTTCTATTTCCTTTTATTTTCTTTTTTAGGTTAAGCTCAAGAGATACATTTTAGAATTGGTGGTACCGACCTACATCTCTATAAGTAGGGTCGAGAGTTGTTCTTTGTTCATTGGTTATTTTTGATTAATAAAACGTGAAAGCTTTTCTCAACTCTAAGTCTTTGAATTCTTTGTCTTTTAATCCATCGATACACAAAACTAAGAACTCCTAGCTACGAATCGTTCTTTGTGAATATTCAAAGACCCTTTTCGTATTTATCGGATGCATTGAGAATTAGTGAAGAGGATTAAGATTTAATTGGTAAGACTTTGGGTTTAACGGTTTTGATTAATATTTTTCTAGTCTTTTACAAAAAAAATTTCTTTTTTCCTAACAAAAAATACATAAATTGTTAAAAATTTATTCTTGCAAGACTTGAACTCATCACTTTTTAAAATTTGATGCCCTATTTTGTTGCCTAAAGCCCGGCTTAGATCAGGATTGGTCTCGCATGAACTTACACTTTACCGGATAGCTTAGGCTCTGGACGGGTGTTACCCTATATATCTTTCTCTTCTTTGCTTCTATGTCTTCCCTCTAGTTTGTTAGACTTTTAGAGCGGCTACGTAATGGCTATTCATATTCTTATTTTTTAGTAAGCTTCACAACAACTTAAAATAGCTCAATAAACAGACCAATGATATGTGGGCTTAGCGTTTTAGAGGCGCATCTCTTTGCATCCCTTGTATACCTTTTACCCAATCTTGGCCCAGCGGATTTATTGACCCAAACCTTGACCCACAAACAATTATCTATGACTTTTGTTTTTTTTTTTTTCGGTGGAACATGACTTTTGTTTGTTTGACCCTATAAAGAATCCCACGATGTTTGATATTCTACTTCCACATATTATAAAGGCATTGTTGTAATCTTGTGTTTTTTTTTCTTCATTCTATTATTATTCTGGTCTCGTGTTTTTTTTTAAAAAATTTTTTTTGGTCTCGTATTTAATCACTCTTAAATTATTTACTCATACTTTTGATTACCATGGTTTTTTACTTATTATTTAATTCAAAGAACTTTTCTTCTCATCTAACTGTCAAAATAATCAAAATTCAGTTTTTTTTTTCCCTTGCCTGGCGCAATTTTTGAAGACCTTTTTATGGGTTTGAATACGACAACGCGAGAAATATACATTTTATTGCTTAATACTAATTGCATCCTTTCAATTTATTAGACTCATAAATATATGCAAAAACGAAGCATACATGAGATATAAACGAATGATTTTACGTAGAAAATAACAGAAAAAATCAAGGATATCAAGTTCATGCCTTCGAGCCAACCTCCGACAAGGCTTTTAAATTCTTACGGACTATAGCTTCATGAATCTCGAATCTCAATGCTGTTAGTCTAGCAGTACATTCACTTTAAAGCATATATAAATCTTGATTGACTTTCTAAATCAGTCTATACTTCCTTTGCACCAAAGATAATCAAATCGAGGAAAATTGTTTTGTTTACTTAACTGAGATCCCAATTAGTCAAGTCATTGATTAGTTCTAGTTAATTCTTTTTATTATGCTGTGATAACATTCTGATTTTATTTTTGCTTGTTCATCAAGACAACGTCATCTTCCAAAAATTATCAAATAAAAATAAGCTTTCTAGAATGAATGTTTTTTGGTTGTTTGTGAGTTTCTATATAGTTTTTCTTCTTCTTTTTCATTTTTTTTTTTCTGTGAGAGGATTTTCATTAGTAGAATTATGCCTTTCTACCATCAATTCCCATTCAAAACGTTTATCTAATGTTCTTAGAAATGTCACCCCATTTTGCATTAAAAAAACTGAAAATTACCTAGTTTGACTCAAATTTAGAGAAAAATAACTAGATTAACACCCAAATATTATGGTTTACTAGAATAACACAAATTTTGTGTTAAAAGACCAAATACCCATTTTATTTTCAGTTCTATTAAAATAAAATAATTAAATTAAATAGAAAATTTAAAAATACAAAAAAAAAATTATAAAACTAAAAAAACGAAAATTGAAAAAAAAAGATGAAAAAAATATATATATATATAAATTGAAAAAATTAAAAAAAATAAAAAACAAAAAAAAGAACTACCCATTTTATTTTCAATTCAATTAAAATAAAATAATTAACATATACTAACTAAATAAGAAAAAAAAAATTAGAAAAAAAATTTAAAAACAACAAAAATATAAATGAAAAAACAAATACATAACAAAAAAATTTTTAAAAAAAAACAAATAAAATATAAAACAAAAAAATTAAAAAAAATAAATTAAAAAGAAAAAATATATAAAAAACGAAAAAAAAATTATCTTTATCATATATTAACAAGGAGACAGCCACACATTAACCATCTATTATAAATAATTCTGTCGAGATAAGAATATGTATGTCATTACCTTATTGTGCAGATGAAAATTTTATTTTCATCAATAAAACTGCCATCATACGACAGATTTTTTATAGTCTATCGAAATCTGTCATAATATAAAAAAAATCTGTCATAACATAAAATATTTCGGTTGTGAGTATATGTCATTCTAGGAATTTATATTTTTATATAACAAATCTGCTATCACACTCCAGATTTTTGTTAAGAAAAAAAAAACTGTCATAACATAAAATAAATCTGTTATCACTAATAAGTCAAACTAGTAATTATAATTTTAATAACAGATCTTCTACATTATGACAGATTTTTATCGAAAAATATAAGTCTGACGCCAATAAAACAATAAATCTGCCACACATTTTAATAAATCTGTCAAAATTACGAAAGTCTGTGGTGTCATCATAAAATAAGTCTGTCGGGAGAAAAAAATCTGCTACAAATTAAATATCTGTCGTAACCTATTTTAAGTAAGTCTGTAGGAGAAAAAAAATCTGTCACAAAAAATCTGTCATAGAAAAATATGTCTGTCATAAAAAATAAACCTGTCACAACTAACCCAGCAGATTTTTCAAATAATTTTTTTTTCCAAATTTTTTTTCACAACGTTTTTTAAATATATTTAAGGGTGTTTTTGACTTTTTTTTTATTCCTAACAAAGAGAGAAAGGGTATTATGGTCATGAAAATAACTCATTAAACCCCTAAATTTTTTGAGACATTCTAGTAATTAAACTCATAATTTGGGTTAATCTAGTAACTTTCCCAAAAAAAAAAACAGTTTAATGAGTGTTTTTTAGCGTTAACTTTCATTCTCTTTTTTTCTTCTTCGTAACTTTAATTCTCTTTTTCCCTTCTTCGTTCTTGTTTCTTTAGCCGTTTATGGTAAGTCTACCCCTACTTGATCACATATATTTTGGTACACACAAATATTTCAACAGGTCAATGAGGATTTTTTTTAAAGGCCAATACAAAATTTTATATGAGAAAAAGTACAGTTTCTTTATGAAAAAGGTACACTTTTACGAAATAAATTAAATGTTAAACCGTCATTAAAATATCCAAAACATAAATTGGTTAATTTGGTACTTTTATTAGATATCATCTTTGTTTTTTGTTGTTCAAACCACACCAATGAACTAAAGAGGGCCAGACTAGTAGTCCCATT